GATGCGTTCTGCTTGTCTGCACATGCCACACCCTCCCCACTCATTCGCTCCAGCCTTCATTGTTGGTTTGCGTGGGCTCTCCCATTCTTTGTTTCGCTGGAACACCAATAACTTTCTCAACTGGCGAGGTTTTATATGTTTAATTGGTCTGTGTGCTGGTCACATCAGCAGCATTATTCCGCTATAACCGACTCGCGAGACTGTCTGGTTGCGCAATAGCAGTATTTTATTTACAAAGATAAAGAAGGGAAAAAACAGGGTTTTAGAATAGTGTCTTTATAGCAGACTTCTTGTTGTTTCAGGACTCGTTATAAGTGGACTCTACTGTATTTTATAACTATTTCAATTACACGCCAATATGTCTTATAAAAGTCTAATTAGAACACCGTTTTATTTGCATATGAATCAAGTGATTTTTAGTTGTAGTACTTGACTTTTTTTTTTAATTGAAAAAGACGAGCATAGGCCTACCATGTTTGATTTTTCATTCCTTCATCGATTTTATTTTTGGCAAAGAACGCAAAATACTGAGGTATAGCTTACACCAGAACGTTCTTTTTTTTCTTGCTTACTTTGAAAACAAATACGACATTTCTTATCTCTAAGGACAAACTCAGACTCAGCAGAGTGGGAGTGGAACAAAGGTAGGCACTATTTTCTTAATTTCCACGAGCAGTGATCGTTTTGTTTCTTCACTCAGTCCCAATGATGGCCACACTGTCTTTCAATTTCACTAAGCTCTCTGCAAGCCTGAGATCAGTAAATAAATTGTCTGTGTGATCTACATCCCTTCTATTCCCTTTGAAATCAACAGCAAGTTTAGTGACTATTGAAATCTACCCCAGTCTTCTTTTCAGTGTCGGGTCTGGGGCTTGTTGATTCTGTCCAAATAAAGCATGCCTCCACGGAGATAAGTTATTGATGCACCAGAAATCAGTATGCTGTAATATATTTGTCAGGCTTGCAGGACATAAAGCACCATCCTCCTCTGAGGGGCAAGCTGTTCAACTATAGTGATATTTTCATTAGCAAAAGGAATGAAGTGGGTGCTACAGGACAATTTGTTTGATGGAGACTGCTGTTATGAGTACAGGATGCCAATGAGAGACTACATTTCAGTTCTGTCTGTGGGGCTCCATTTGTGGTTTAGGTCTCTGACACTCTATAAGTAGGCAGTTTAGTGAACATGCTCACTGCAGCGCGATTCAGCTTTGGAAATTCCCATTGAGTTTTGTTCGGGACATAACGTCTCATCGCGATGGTGGATTCAAATTGAGCCCCTCCCCCCACTCAATTTTTTCCTGCCCAAAGCCTTTCATTGTGTAGTGAGAAGAATCCAGGCTCATGTTGCAATAAAGCAAAAATTACATTGAGGTGCCTATTAAAATATCCGACGCAATTATTTCTTTGATAAAATTTCTTAGGTATATTTTAGTACAGTCCATGCCAGCTTTAAGTACAGTCATCGGGAGAAAGCATAAGCGTGCTTGAGTGCGAAGTAGACATAATCCAGAGATTTTCATGTATAAAATATGCTATTTCCCTTTGTAAGTACGACTATAGCGGTCCAGCAAAAGTGTGCACTGTTATTTTTACCCGCCATGGTAGTTTTTGTTTGCTTGTTTGTTTTTGTTTTGTTGTCGAAAGAGAAATGAAAACTTAATTTAGACGACCAGTCACAATACAGCACACTAGGCCTACACTAGGCGTACCACTGCCCACTGTGCCAAGTTCATACCACTGCTTTCATCCCACCTCGCGCGTGATACATATCAGGATTAATGGATAGTGAGGGTCAAAGATGAAATCACAGCGAGCCTCCTTTTCTCGTCTCCCCGACTCTCTTCGTATTTTTTTCGCCTGCGTGTAACTTTGCCCGTAGCCAGATCTTATGTCTACGCGCGCTTTGCATCTCCTCTCTGCCTTCCTCTCCGCGCATGTGAATGTGAGTGTGTGTCTCCATCACTTGCGTTCTCTGTGTTTCTCTTAACACACTCACTGCTGCTGTGTATAACTTTCTCAACTGGCGAGTGAGGTTGAGGGCAACACCGGATGACAAATACTGAACTTGGAAGCAGATTTACATTTCAGAATTTTGATTACTACTATCTAGAGCTCTCTGCATAGCACACGTTGGTGCAGGCCTTATGTGGAATCGGGATCTGTCATACTCAAACCTTGTAAGCAGTGTTTTTGTAACTAAAGGGTTCCGTTTCATTGATTGTATATTCTATATTTTAGCTTTTTGTTCAAGATTTGCAGATTTTCAGTGTCACTGCATCTTGCCCTCCCACAGTTCTTGCACCTCTCAAACTGAATAGGTCTACTTGAGCCATTCATGTTATTGCTCTACTTTGAGTTAGAGCAATAATTTTTGTGTTTCACGTTTATTATATAATTCTTGACACCCTAAACTGGTTCTTGACAGTGGATATTCTGGTTCTAGGCCTTTTCTCAGGCTCAAAGCAAGATTCACTTTTATAATAGTTGATATAGGCGAATATGATGAGGGGAAAGTATAAATAAGTAAAAACGGACTGAACTACCTAAGTCACAGTATCCCAGTGCCACACTGACATCATGTTGTTGACTGGATAAGATGTACCTGCATGCGTGCGTGCCACGTGTGTGTGTATATATTATATATAATATATAAATGGAGCATGCATGTCATCCCTGGAGAATGGATGAGCCCCGCCCCCGCCTGGAAAATTGAGAAGCTGGGTTGGCAGTCACCCTGGGAACAGTTTTTGTAGGAAAATCGAAACTATGATATGGTTCCTTTCGGACAAGTGTAGGCCTTCGAAAATAGGCTTTCTTCCTTGAACTTTAAAAATTTCTCCTTGAAACCTCCTTGAATTTGATGGGAAGTTCATGGCAGGAACCCTGTTAATCAACTGCTTGCTCTGTATGCTTCCTGGGAAGCCAAGAATGTCTCTGAGCATTCTAGGGTCTGCTGGGTGAATAGTTATAATATAGATTGTAAAGTGCATAGAGCTTGCTGTCGAGCTGGAATATGTGCTATACAAATTCTATTTCTTCTTCTTCTTCTTCTTATTTATTCCACAGATAAAACAGTACCGGTACTCATTACGAAAAGTCAGGTTTTAGATTAAACTCTTTTCGTTTTCCATAGTGGCTACTTGTAATTTTGTAATGTTATTGTAATTTTACGCACTCATCAACACAAGTCAGATCATTGAAGAAGTGGGCTACTTCAACACTACCTACTACCTGTCAGGGCCAACCCACCCTGCTGGGAAGGATATCAGATACACAGTGATACTCGATAAAAGAACATTCCTTGTAATCTTACTCACTTTATCTGTATGTGATGAGGAAACGTGGTCTCTGCTATTGTTACTACACCTCAGGTGCTGGCTTTTTTTTTTCTGCCTCACTTCCCATGTCTACTGATTCAATTGGGCCTACTATCCTCCTGGACGATTTTTGTGTGGCACATTGCATCAAGGGCTGAAAATTTCACCAATTAAATTTTCTATCACAGTGTCCTTGAGTGAAATTAGTGGTGAGCACGGTTATTTCACAGACCCAGAAAAAATGGACGTACTGTACTGATATAGCACTATAAAATGTCGGGAACAGATAAGAGGAAACTGTGATAGATCTAGTCATAGGGAAAAGCTCTGAGCCGCACAGCTTTAAACCATTTCCAGTGGTTTCGTACCCTAAATCGGGTCACAAGTGCCCATGTTCATGATCGCAACAATAGCCGCGATAACCTCACGATGGGTTAACAAGGTGATGTTTTTTTTAAAAACCCAAATGCTTTAACTCATGCTTTTCCCTTTCAACCCTCTTCTCATGCATAGGACATGGACTCAAGCTTGACAAGTTGGAAAGGGGGTGCCATCCTGGCGTGCCTTGACTCAACACAAGAATTGTGGGTGTGGCAGAAAGAGTGGAAACAGTTCAGTGTGCGCATGCTGCGAGAAAGAGCACCTTTTATTTGGTAGCCGAATAAATTGTCTCAGATTAGTGTTTCCTCCCTTTTTTCACTAAAGTTCGAAAGACAAAGAAAATTGTGTTCCTGGATAAATACTGGATAAAGCGAGTACAGAGCTAGAAGGACTCAAATGGATGCTATTATGTTACGAATGTGTTTATGTATGTGAAGGATATAGCAGACAATAATCATGAAAACATGTTTTCATTGTTCACTGCCATGTGTTATTGACAATAAACATTTTTTACCTTAACAAAACACTTTGCTCTTTTGATACTTTACTGGTTGACCAGTGCATGATACATGTATATTTATCAAGAGCCTTGTATTGGGAATAAAATGTCTAGATTGTGTAGCCTATGATTTTTCAAGATGGCTAACAGAGTCGTGAAAGCATTTTCTTTTTGTTATTGTGTTCTCCTCTACTAAACATAGTACCTATCAAGGTGCTACTTCACTTTATTAGTACATTCGGGGCACAGATGACATGAACACTGAAAACTTGAAATATCGGATATAGCTTATTAATACAATTTGCAACTCCCCGACTGATACAGTGGAGTCCACTTATAACTAGTCCGGAAAAAGCGAGCAGTCTGTTATAAAGACACTATTCGAAAACCTTGTTTTTTTCTCTTCTTTACCTTTGTAAATAAAATACTGCTATAGCGCTATCAGACAAACATGCGAGTCGGTTATAGCGGACTATTGCTGCTGCTGTGCACAGTGCACAGGCCAATTATACATAAAGTAAAACCTCGCCAGTTGAGAAACTTGGTGATCTAGCGAAACAAAGAATGAGAGAGCCCACGTGTGTCAACAATGAAGGCCGGATCGAATGAGTAGGGAGGGTGTGGCATGCGCAGACAAGCAGAACGCATCGCGTGATAGGCCAGCGTAAGCTTAGTTTAGATTATCAAGGCCTACCAATACCATGCCTCTCACTTCTCTGATGCGGGGATGGAGAGGTCACAGCAATGTGATGGATGGAGCGAATCTGTAACGTGTGCAAGCAGACGGAATGCACTACAGGGTGAGGTGGGGTGGGGGGAAAGACAGCGGACGAGTTAGCCCAGAGACCTTTCTTTCTGATCGCCAACACCGAGCTGTCAGTCAACATCACTAGCGCTAGAGAAAGAAACCTGATTCGATTTTTGATCAAGTAAGACCTAGAAGAGGTCATGTTGAAACAAAATCATCCTCAGGGGAGATAGCAAAAGGAAATAAACAGAACATCAAACTCATAGATTCGGCCAACTTTACAGTTTCCCTTGAATTTATTACTGGATCCCTTACGACGAGAATCCTGCTATAACGGACTTTTTGCACCGGTCCCCTCCTTCTCGTTATAACAGGATTCCACTGTATAATTTTTCATTTTCAGTTTACACAAATTATTGGAAGTCGAATAAATTTGTCAATCCCCGACATGTTTATCTGTGCCCGACTGTATTCATAATCACAGGAAGTCAAAGCTGCTAGGCCAGGACAATTGGCTGACCTGAATGATTTTTCAATGGGAGATAGAGAATTGAGAGAAAGTTGCTCACCAAAAAGCCATGGAAGTGATAGAAGATCAGGACTTAATTCACCAAGGCAGAGTGCTGATCAAAGGCCCACTAACGACTCGAGATTAGATTTTTACACCTTTTTCTTTTCAAGAAGTAGGTTAATACATGTAATAAATCAGGATCACGAAATCAAAAGCCCATATTCAAATTCAAAAGACACGTATTAGCCCAAGGACAATCCTTTCCTCTTTATCACATAACCACATGATCCCCTTTCAACACACTTCTAAATCTATTACCTCTTATAAAAGATAAGTTGCATAAGGAAGAAAAAAAGGTAATTTCTAATAAAAATGACAGAGAGGTCAGGCAGCAGAAAAAAAACCCAAACTATTACCGTCTTCCATATTGTTTATTAAAAAAAGGGCACGCAGGAACAAAGGTGTTACAGGGCACGCAGGAACAAAGGTGTTACTGTTAAGATGCTGTGAATTGCTGGGATCTTTTTAGGATATGAGCGTTTATACCTGATTTTATATGATGAAAAATTCAAACTGGAACCAATCAATTTTTATTCCAATTATAAGATAACAGATAACTCGCACTCTCCAGATAACATGTAAGTTCATTGTATTCACATTATGCTATATAATTATGATCGACTTCTTTTTTCTTCTTTTCTCTTCTTTCTTAAAAAAAATTTTTGGGGTGTTTTACGCTGCTCGCAAAAACTGCATGAGGTCATATGAGCATGTGGGACACATTAAACATTTTCAGTCGGTAGGAAATTTTGAATTTACCTCAGGTGGTGGCCCAAGCCTACTCTTAAAATGATTAATCTTATCGATTTTAGACCACCAAGGGATCTTTAATGTGTGCAACTTGCACAGGGGACGGGACCTCCAAGATTTTTCACCCTTGTCCGAGAAGGCTAGACTAGGTGTAGATCTTTCCTACCAGAAGATCAGCGGTGTGGCTGAAAGATAGCAGTAAGAAGGAGCCAAGGAATAGCAGTAGTAAGGCTGCAGAAAGAGTCAGGAGCCCAGAGGAGGAGGCAAAAGAGGTGAGGGGGGTGGGGGCTGAAAGTGGAGACGAAAGTAGACGACAGAACATTTCTAGAGAACAGGAAAGGAGGTGAAAGAAGACAATTTTAGAGAAGAAAATTTTTTGGTCCCTTCCCGGATTCGAACCCAGGACCTTTGAATGAGAGGCGAACACCTTAACCTCTCTAAGCCACGAGAGCCCTCTAATTGACTTCAAATGCCAGGAGCAAGTGTTTATTTTCTTTAAAAATGTCAGTTTTAGCAACGCCTTGGGAATCCCCTCAACAGAAAGTAACTGTATGTCCCTGTGCTGAAAAACAAACATTTTTAAACACGTTCCTCAATTCAGATATATTCATGAGGTTTTCTTCTTGTATGACACTACTACACTATTTTTGGGCTTTTTAATTCTTACAATAGGTATCAATTAATTAACAAAGAATTATACAATGTAAAGAACACCCCAAATATTACCACAGCGATATTTCCCTTTACAAGTTAAAATAGGGCAAAAGCTGCAAGCATAAATAGACTCTTGTATCAAAGTTTCCATACTGACATCCAATTTCAGTTACCAAAGAAATGTGTATTTAGAGAGTATAGAGCATTAATTTCAAGAAAAAGACTTAATTCATCTCTGCTTGAACAGAACATATGTCCAGAAAAGCCATAGAACAGTAAAAGGGGGTAACTCAATGACAAAAGCACAGGCTAAAGAAAACCATTAAAGTAAAGCCTGCAGCACATCAATCTCTTTAGTCTTTAGCAACATTCACAAGCTAAGTTGTTGACCAGCACTACAACCACATGCCTTAATTGACATGAAGAAGTAGTGAACTTTTAGTCCAAAATATCTTTTTGTTTTGGTAAGTGTTGTACAGCGCTTGCAACTGCATAAGGTCATGAGCGGGAGGGACACACTGCTAAACATTCTCAGTTTGGAAGGAATTCATTTTGAATTTTGCGCGGGTGACTGCTGAAGCCTACTCTTATCGATTTTGGACCAACAGCTGACTCTGAGAATCTTCGTCTTTATCCAAGAAGGCTAGCTGTTAGATCTTACCTACCCTAGGATCAGGGGTGTGGCTGAAAAACAACAGTGAAGGAGCTAGGAGTACATGTAGTGGTAGAAAGGCTACAGAAAGAGACAGGAGCTCAGAGGAGGGGGCAAAGAGGGGTGGGGGCAGAAGGTGGAGATGAAAGCAGACAACAGAACATGGTTATAGAGCATGAAGGGAGGTGAAAAGAGATACTTTTAGAGAAAAAATGTTCCGTCGCCGTCAGGTTTCGAGCACGAGACCCATTGAATGAGAGGCGAACACCGTAACCTCTAGACCATGAGAGCCTCTGTCCTAATATCTGGATGGCTTCTTTGCCATGTGGTGGCTGTTAATAAACCCTCATGATCACAGATCAATGTGAGTATCGGTATGGTGGCCATTAGCCCTCAGGATCGATGTCTACATCTCAGTCATTGAGTAGGCCTATTGAGTATGATTTAGCTGATATTATGGTGTCCAGTAGAGATTTTTTTTAAATACACGTAAGCGAACTATCCAGTCCTACATAATGTACAGTCAAACCTCGTACCGCCCCGTTATACCGCCAGGTTTTGCCAATGTACAAAAAGGAGGGCCTCTATAAACATAGTATGTATGCCTTCATCATACCGCCATCCACCAACTGTCAGTTTTACGGTCCCTATTTAACTGATTTAAATTTGCCCCGCCATACTGCCAGAGGTACACACTGCACACAACGCACAACACTCACTGGTTGGCTACTAGATAATCTTTCTCCCACAAGAAAGACATAGACATAAAGAGAGAGAAGACTCTCAGCTCTAAATACACATCACTTACAAAAAGGCTTTTCAAAATGACCACACAGCATGCTCTTCTTTCATCCCAAACATACATTGGAATTGAAAAGTAAAACAAGACTAAGAACTAGTTTGGTCACCATTTTATTTTCTTTCCGATTTTCTTTTTTGTTTTCAATTTGGCAACTTTCACTTTTTGTTTCTTGACAGCTCTCTGGTTCATCCATTGAGGGTAGTGTCCATCCTCATTTTGTTGAGTCTTCTTCTTGAAAACTTTCTTGGTATTATCCACTTCCATTCCTGTATCTGGATTGGATAGAATGACAAATTCATTCATTTTACAAATCATATATATATTACATATTATGTGACCCTCCCAGTCAAAATCAGTCATATGAAAGAAATATAAAAATTAGGATAACATTATTTCCAAAAACTATCCCAATGTTCCTACAATAAAAAAAAAAAAGAAGTAAATCGGACAATATTTTAAGAAAATATATGGAACTTTTAAGAGTGCAAGGTGCGGAAACACGAAAAGGAGAAAATGGGCTCCTTAATCTTGTCAGACAAGCTCACAACTGACCACACACACCTTCAAAATAAAATATTTAAAGTCGATTATAGTTGTTTATTTTGATCTTAAATGAAGCAAAAGATATAAAACTTTCAATAGGAAAAAAAAAATTGCATAGAATGTCACATTTTTGCCTTTCGAGCCTTGTACCTTATAATAGGATAGCACATTGCGTTTTACGACTGATAGTGATATTGACCGGAGCAGACAGATATATGTAAAGAGAACATCTGCTTTGCCTAATGAAGAATGGTACCTAGTCTCTACACAAACACTCATTCATTCTATTAGTATTATAATGACCCCTCACCCTCCCTTTTAAAACACTCCTTAAGGTAATATAGGATGAAAAGAGAGTTTAAAAAAGCAGCATTTTGCTAAACCAAAATCTGCAGGACTCTTCAGTTTACAGAACTTGCCCCTTATGAACATCATGTTCATGCAAAATGTTTGAATTGTCAAAATGATGCAAGCAGTTGACGATTAAATTTTTTTTATACGAATCGAAGTGACAGGGTGTTTTAAACCCCTACACTTTTTATAAAGCAAGCAGACGACAGAGGATTTTGAAAACACTCTGTTTAGACTTGATTATCCATTCATTTGAGTATGACTATGACAACAAAATGCATGCTTTAGATAAGCAAACAGATAATTCATGAGATTTTGAAGTTAGTTTTTGTTTCATGTAATTGATGGATTTTTATCATTTTAACATAAAAAATTGAAAGGAACTGAAGGTTGGATTACGGTACAGTGGAATCCTGTTATAACGAGAGGGAGGGGACCGGTGCGAAATGTCCGTTATAGCAGGATTCTCGTTATTAGGGATCCAGTAATAAATTCAAGGGAAACAGTAAAGTAGGCCTAAACTAAGAGTTTGGTGTTCTGTTTATTCCTTTTTGTATTTCCCCTGATGAGGATTTTGTTCGACATGATCTCTAAGTCTTACTTGATCAAAAATCGAATCAGGTTTCTTTCTCTAGCACTAGCAATGTTGACAAATTGGCTTTGGCGATCAGAAAGAAGGGTCTCTGGCTCTAGGCTAACTTGCGTTGTCGACGTTAGGCAGTGTCGTTCCCCACCCCACCACACCCTGGGGTGCGTTGCGTCTACTTGTGCACATCACACATTCACTCCATCTATCACAGCATTGTGACCTCTCCATCCCGCACCAGAGAAGTGAGAGGCACGGTATGCCTAGATAATCTAGACTGGGCTGGCCTATCACGCGATGCGTTCTGCTTGTCTGCACATGCCACACCCTCCCCACTCATTCGCTCCAGCCTTCATTGTTGGTTTGCGTGGGCTCTCCCATTCTTTGTTTCGCTGGAACACCAATAACTTTCTCAACTGGCGAGGTTTTATATGTTTAATTGGTCTGTGTGCTGGTCACATCAGCAGCATTATTCCGCTATAACCGACTCGCGAGACTGTCTGGTTGCGCAATAGCAGTATTTTATTTACAAAGATAAAGAAGGGAAAAAACAGGGTTTTAGAATAGTGTCTTTATAGCAGACTTCTTGTTGTTTCAGGACTCGTTATAAGTGGACTCTACTGTATTTTATAACTATTTCAATTACACGCCAATATGTCTTATAAAAGTCTAATTAGAACACCGTTTTATTTGCATATGAATCAAGTGATTTTTAGTTGTAGTACTTGACTTTTTTTTTTAATTGAAAAAGACGAGCATAGGCCTACCATGTTTGATTTTTCATTCCTTCATCGATTTTATTTTTGGCAAAGAACGCAAAATACTGAGGTATAGCTTACACCAGAACGTTCTTTTTTTTCTTGCTTACTTTGAAAACAAATACGACATTTCTTATCTCTAAGGACAAACTCAGACTCAGCAGAGTGGGAGTGGAACAAAGGTAGGCACTATTTTCTTAATTTCCACGAGCAGTGATCGTTTTGTTTCTTCACTCAGTCCCAATGATGGCCACACTGTCTTTCAATTTCACTAAGCTCTCTGCAAGCCTGAGATCAGTAAATAAATTGTCTGTGTGATCTACATCCCTTCTATTCCCTTTGAAATCAACAGCAAGTTTAGTGACTATTGAAATCTACCCCAGTCTTCTTTTCAGTGTCGGGTCTGGGGCTTGTTGATTCTGTCCAAATAAAGCATGCCTCCACGGAGATAAGTTATTGATGCACCAGAAATCAGTATGCTGTAATATATTTGTCAGGCTTGCAGGACATAAAGCACCATCCTCCTCTGAGGGGCAAGCTGTTCAACTATAGTGATATTTTCATTAGCAAAAGGAATGAAGTGGGTGCTACAGGACAATTTGTTTGATGGAGACTGCTGTTATGAGTACAGGATGCCAATGAGAGACTACATTTCAGTTCTGTCTGTGGGGCTCCATTTGTGGTTTAGGTCTCTGACACTCTATAAGTAGGCAGTTTAGTGAACATGCTCACTGCAGCGCGATTCAGCTTTGGAAATTCCCATTGAGTTTTGTTCGGGACATAACGTCTCATCGCGATGGTGGATTCAAATTGAGCCCCTCCCCCCACTCAATTTTTTCCTGCCCAAAGCCTTTCATTGTGTAGTGAGAAGAATCCAGGCTCATGTTGCAATAAAGCAAAAATTACATTGAGGTGCCTATTAAAATATCCGACGCAATTATTTCTTTGATAAAATTTCTTAGGTATATTTTAGTACAGTCCATGCCAGCTTTAAGTACAGTCATCGGGAGAAAGCATAAGCGTGCTTGAGTGCGAAGTAGACATAATCCAGAGATTTTCATGTATAAAATATGCTATTTCCCTTTGTAAGTACGACTATAGCGGTCCAGCAAAAGTGTGCACTGTTATTTTTACCCGCCATGGTAGTTTTTGTTTGCTTGTTTGTTTTTGTTTTGTTGTCGAAAGAGAAATGAAAACTTAATTTAGACGACCAGTCACAATACAGCACACTAGGCCTACACTAGGCGTACCACTGCCCACTGTGCCAAGTTCATACCACTGCTTTCATCCCACCTCGCGCGTGATACATATCAGGATTAATGGATAGTGAGGGTCAAAGATGAAATCACAGCGAGCCTCCTTTTCTCGTCTCCCCGACTCTCTTCGTATTTTTTTCGCCTGCGTGTAACTTTGCCCGTAGCCAGATCTTATGTCTACGCGCGCTTTGCATCTCCTCTCTGCCTTCCTCTCCGCGCATGTGAATGTGAGTGTGTGTCTCCATCACTTGCGTTCTCTGTGTTTCTCTTAACACACTCACTGCTGCTGTGTAGACGGTGTTTGAACTTCGATGGGTCATCATAAAAGTATTGACTGTCTTGTAATGAAGCGTGCCTGAAGCCGAAGTTACCATGCTTAAAGGCGTGTAATTTATATAGCAAAAATTCGGTAAGAGCCATTTAGCGTGCTTGAGTCCGAAACGAGCTTTATCAACTTTATACCGGTGTGCTTAAAGCTGGCACGGACTGTACGGCATCCAGATTTTCTTTCTTTTCCATCGCACTGACTGGAAAGAAAAATGTTTGGGCCTGGAACTGATGTGGGACATGGTGCAACCCCCCCCCCCCCCCCTCTTTTTCTGTCTGTCTGTTTCTGTGTGCTCCCACTCCATGCCTCTTTTCAAAACCGTACCTCTCTTTTCTTTTCCATCCCACTTATAGTACCTGCACTTCATTTTCACGTACATTCTCTCTGAATATACTTCTTGTCATCTTATTTCTCTTATCTCCACCACCGCCATCCTTCCACGACTCACTCTATTAGTCTGTCCCCGTAAGATTATGCGATTGTGCGGCCGCGTTTTTTCGCGTAATTCTGCAACATTTGCATAATTTTGGATTATCCACGGTTTTTCACAAAACAATTAATTAACGCCTCACCATCTGACTAAAGGGACGTAATCACCGTAATTTCTCTCAGTTAAGTTAAAAGTTGGTTATTTCCCTTATTAGAAGATCTTGGTTATGGGTTGTGATTTTGTTCCTTGAGCATGTTCAATTTTTCAATCCATCAAAAGTTGTTGTTCTCATGTCTGCTGATATTTCATGTTTAACAGGTGTCCCTGGTTTTAGTAATGTGCCAGCATCAGAGGTCCAGATTTCCCTTTTTTTTTTTTTTTTTTTTTACTTTTTTCTTTCCTCTATAGATCTTGATCTACAGTTGAAAGTTACAGAGATTTTTTTTTTTTAATTAATTTTTTTAAACTGATGCGTATTGTTTTCTTTTCCAAATACACAACAAGTTACTGATACTGATATATTCTGTTTTCAATTTTTCTGTAGTACATAAAACATGAAAATCAGGAAACTTCGTGTTGAAAAAGTGCAAAACATGTCGCGAATGGTTTTACAGTAACTTGCATAAGTTTGCTTTTCTGTGTGCATAATTTGGCCTTCTAAATTTGCATAATTCTACGGGGACAGATTAGTAGTGTAAGCCTATTACTCTTTTCCACTGATGAAACAACCATGAACAAAGATGCTAGCTGCAACAAAGTGGGCACTTTTGCTCCTATACACAGATCCATGGTGATTCTTGTATCAATCTCAGGCTTTATACAGTGGAACTTGGATTCAACGAAAAAGGACATGGGTTCCCTATTTTCTTATTCTTTTAATAAATAAAAATAATCCAGATTCAACAACAGGTAGATCAGCAGGCTCACTTCAAGGGTGAACAGCCCCCGCAGACATGCCGTCGCTCATTTTTCTGAGTAATTACCAACTAGAACCAGCTCGTTTTGACAACGGTAATTTCAAAATAAGACCCTTACTCTAGTTTTTGTCAGGGAACCTCCCTTTCATCCAAAACAGAAAAAGTAAAAAGCTTAAGTTCCGATTGACAATGGACAGACCACGAGTTGTCTTTTTTCTCAAATTCCAAATCAAATAATCAAACAAGGATTTCAAAAATTAATAAAAGCACAAGAAAAGGTAAGTCCACAGAATCACAATTCCTCCCACAGTTTTAAAATGAACCATACCTGAAGTTGAAGTGGATGGCTTGTCTTTTATTTCTTCTGCTGATTTCACTGAGGAAAATTAAAGAAGAGGCTGTATTCAATACCATCACTACTTGCTACAATTCAATATGGACCAACAGCTCATAAGATGCTCCTGTTATTGAAAAAGCATAAAACATAATCATACTCATACTCATAGAGTATGTATAGCATATTATAGAAATAGCAACTGTAGACCTTGAAACAGGCATGTCCAACATGTGCATAGAGCAGAAGGGAAGACTCTGTAAATATCTTGTTTTGTAAGAGTTTCATGCCTTACTACTTTTTGGAGATAGCCAGTCTTTGAATAATTTCTTTTTTGTTGTTGTTTTTTGGCAACACCAGATCTGTATGAAAAAGATCTGGACAAAAGACTGTACTGTAAGAGCAAACAAGAACAAGTTGAACAAAAGACTCCTTTATAATGATTCTAATTATCGCTTATGGAATGGGGGTTAAGCCCTTGTTTATGGGACTACTGATTATAAAACAATTATTTTACATTTCCTAGACTGCTCCAGGTACCAAAAGGAAAAACTGATGGCCAAGGAAGACTATGACAAAATTTGACATTTAAAATATAATGGGTTGAATCTAGTTCTTTTTTTTGGGGCATATGATTATCATTCAGTCCCGAGCCAGATGAAAGCTGTAATTAATTAATGACAAGTAGCCGTCGCATGAATAAATTCTTTCATTGCCGTACCAAATAATGTTAGGCATAAATAAGGAAAGAGATGTTAGGATAGGAAAAATTACGTCTTTCTCAACTTAAACCTATTCATGAATGGCAAAGCTAAAACATACTTGTGACAACATTATCCAAATCCAGTTCTTTAGCTTTAGAAGCTAATCTCTTCAGACGATCTAAATCTTTCTTCGCAAAATGTTCACGCTTTACATTCCGCATTTGTCTGCGATGCTTGCTTCTGATACTTTTGGCCATCTGTGGATTTAAAAATGTTGCATAATTTGGTAAATAATAATAAATTAGATTCTAGTAGAACAAATAGAAGCACCAAAAACAGCAAAACTATTTTATATAAATCGTTTATGTGACTTCTTCGACCATTATTACTTCGAAGCCACCATCAACTGTATAATTAGTGTGAACAAAACAAAGCGTTACACTCCGGTCAATTGAAGTGTCTGTCCTTCACCTTCAGATGTCAGTTGCTTAAATTTAAGCAAGTGGCTATTCTCTGACGTCGTGCCGGTCAACAGATCGATGGCTATTCTTCGTGGTAGGTGCATTGTACGTTATGGTCATTATTGTTGCAACTGAGTTCAGTGCCAGATGCGCCTTCTTGTACTTCTGGTTGTGACTGAAGGTTGTTGGCACTTCTGGTGCTGTCACCTCTGACACAGAAATTCGTCCTCCTTCCCTCACTGGAGCTTTCATTGAGGAGTGGCTGTGTGTCCACCTAGCCTATGGTGAATTGCATTCTGAAGAAATGCCGACCCTGATGAGTGTTTGTTGTGTAAGGCACAGTAAGGCCATAATGTGCTGACGGGGAGATAGAAAGCAATGGAGAAGCGACATGTACAACATAGACACGTGATGCCGTAGAATAGCCATTAGTCTATTGACCAGCACGACGTCGGAGAACAGCCACTTGGTAAATTAAAAAACTTAGGGCCTACTCAGTTACTGCGAAACTTCCGCCATATTCGGCATGAAACAAAACACATGGTAAAACAAGCACTGGAGTCCATTTCCGTACATGATGCAATAAACATAGCCCACCCATGGGAGATTCACTAGAAACACATAGCATAAATAAAAGTTCAAGAAAAAAACATGATTTAAGCCTATTAGCCCCTTATTTTAAAGGCCAGCTCTATTCGGACTTGAGTCCGATTAAATTTTTTATCTATTCGGACCTGAATCCAAATAAGAGTTTTATCTATTCAGACTCGGGTCCCAAAAAAATGTTTTATTCATTCGGACTCAACTTTTAAGTGAGTTATGCGAGAGTAAGGAGGTTACATAATACAGTGGAACTCGGATTCAACGAGGTTGCCGGGCCTGACCTAAAATCTCGTTGAATCCGAGTGTTCGTTATAGCAAACACGAGTTTTTGTTTAGATAATTACAGGCACTGAGCAAGTAATGTATAAAGAGAAGTCACAAGTAGTGCCTGAAATGCCTGCATATTATGAGCTGTGTAAAAAAAAAAGACCGATTCGTTCAAATGCACTCCTGTGTCATCTCGATTGTTTACCAAAAAGTTGTGTTGCTGTGTAGAGCCTAGCATACGGCAACTTTAGATTCCATAGACCAGCGCACAATTCAATACGAAGATCTACGTCAAGACTAGCTTATTGTATAATAATGATCAGTTGCCGAGGGAAAAAAAAAGACTGTGACACGTTTGTATCTGCGACGTTCAATGCCCGAACCGCTACTGCCACCCTCCCCACCCCACTGACGCACACACACAGTCACACGTGTGCAGGCCGCCCATCCGACCCCGACACACGCCTGTCGAGTAGACTCGTGCGCGAGCCAACAACGCATGGGTTGGTATAAAAAAAGGCCGCTGATTGGTTGTATGCAACCGGTTAAGTGAATAATGGTTCACGATGCAGTTGCTATGGATGGTTTCCCGGAATAGATAAAGTTCGTTCTGGGAGAAAAATGAGCGAAGCCACGTCTGCGGGGGCTGTTCACCCTGGAAGCGACCTCGTTGAATCCAGGTTACTTTTATTGATTTTATTATAGAATAAAAAAAACAGGGAATTTATCTCATTTTGTTGAATCCGAGTTCTCGTTGAATCCGAGTCCCACTGTATAACTGTCATCGAGGGATTTTACGTAAAACCAGAATTAGGACTAGAATTACCTACTAGGACTGCGTAATTGTGTCAAAAGTCAAAAGACTGCACTTTCATTGCCCAACGGCAGTGTCTCAAGTACACAGTAACTGACAACAGAGGGTCTTTTTTACCACCACTAGCCTCCAGCATCATCATTACTTCCACCAGCCTTTGTCACCCGGGGTGAGAACAGTGCAGTTGTAGGCTTCTCACTCGGGGCGAGACGGCAAGCCTTTTGGCTATTCTCACCCAGTGTGTGTTTACCGTGATACTCAGTGAAAACCACAGAATTCTACACTTTTTATTGAATTCTGTGGTCTAAACAAACGTTCCAGCGCTCTTGTGTTGAAAACGTGCAATTTTGTCTGTGGGCATTGAGAGAGAGAAGTAGCCTAGATCTAGCGAGAACTTCCAGGCAAAACAAAATGGCGACCACCGTAGTTCGGCTCAATTCAAAAAGTGAAATAGCCGTAGCATCTTTGTAGACCACCAAATTAGGCACTTGGATATCGGCCCGCGCGGCCCGAGATTTTCGTTCACCTGCGGCCGCCGCGTTTTGTGTCAGAAATCGGGCCCCGTGAGGGGGGTACCTATTTGTTTTGTTTCGTTTATAGTGTTCTTTTCAATTTATGGATTACTTCCGCCTATCAAATTAAAGAGGAAAGAAAGGCGCGTATTATGGCGTTTTCCACTTCGGGATCGGTTGTGTGTGTTCGGAGTTACAAGGAGTTAAAAATAAGGTAAGTTCAAGCCTTTATATTTAAAGAGTATATCTTTTTTTTTTTAGGTACTCCTCACAGTCTTTTCTTCAACCTTTTATCTCTTTTATTTGTTAATTTCAATGTTGTACGTTGAGGCATAAGCGTGTGAGCCCTAATTTAAATAGGTCACTCTCCATGAATGGGCATGACCTATTATCGATCGCGCTGCTGAGCGTGAACCGGGAGGTCATGGCGGCCATTGCGGAAAGCGAACTTAACCCACGCTAACGTGTATTGTTGGCGTTTATTACCTCTTAAACGGCATTGAAGAATGTTTTATAGTAGAAGATATGATTTATTTTAAATTTTGGAATGTAATAAGTATCACTGTTGTATAATTTTTATGAATTTGAACCATGTAACAATCAGTAAGGAGTCTTGGGTGGGGGGGAGGGAAATGTAACAGCCTTGGCCTTGTTTTGTTTCTGTGTTACTGTCACTGTTAGACCATCGATTTCACGCAAGTTTTTACTTCTTTTTTTGTGTGCTTATATTGTCTTTAAATATTTTTTCTTCTTAATTGTTTTTGTGTGTGCTTGTTATTTAAATATCTCTTTAAATTATCATGTACTTTGTCCAGTTTGTTTTAAGATAGATCTACATGTTTATTAGAAGATGTTTTTTCTCTTGTCTAGTCATCTACACCCTCCCTTTACTAGAGTTGTAGTGTGAAAATGTCAAATTTCCATCCACTGCTTACAAATGAATTTATTTACTTCATTGATGAATTCATTGCTTTCCTTTTTTTTTTTTTTCCACAGCCCCTGATCACAACCTGCCACTGTTCCATTGGATTTATTGACAGCTCACCAGAATAAATCCTGACTTTAATTAAAATCCAGAAATGCTGGCGGAGTTGGTCGAATTCACAGAAAAACTTGTTTGAACAAGTTGCAAAAAAATTGAGCACTTAAGAAAGCATTTGTTGCAGACAAGGAAAAAAAAGTCACATTAATTTAACAATATCAAGTTGGCAGACTGGGTGCACTAAACAATTGCCAGAAATAAAGAAAGAATAAATAAGTATCGTGACACAATTGCGCAATTCAAAAAACATGTCGTATTTCACAACTAATTGTCTTTGAAGAAGATGAACATTTAAATAAACACAATAAAAATATAATGAAAAACTTGCTGAACAAACTGAAGTAATAAAATTAGAAGAGACTATTGTTTAACTTACAGGGCAATCTCATGAGTTAAAGATGTAAAAGAGAAATCAAAGATAAAGACAGAGTAATTGATCATTTACATGACAAATTAAAACATGAAAGAAACATTCTAACAATAACATGCAAAATGAATTTAAAAAACAGTATTATCATGAATTAAGGTAGACTAAAAACACTAGTTTGCAGCAGCTGTAGACACAAATGTTAACTTTAAAAACTTCTATGCTCATCTTATTTTAGGCGACCAGCTGTTTTGTTAAAATATATTTTATTTTTTAATCAGTTTTTTTGTTAATTCTACTGATATTTGATATGTAGATGTTCCAAAAGAAAGGCCTTAAAAAGACCTTCAAAACGATACCTCAATTATTGATGTAGCTTAATTTATAAGAAAGTTATGGCAAAATATATTGACCGCAGGACGGTGCGGTCACGTTACACAACACAGTGTTACATAATATTACCCAATATTACCCACCACGATATATTTTAAAAATTTCGTCTGACTGTTATTTTGTCCTCAACATCACAAGGTTTCAGAAAATGTTTGGTTTTTGCATGTACGCAGCAGCATATTGAAGCAGCTAACATTTCCCTTGTTGTCCTTGCTGTTTCGATCACAAAAATTGCTTTTTTTTTCTATATAGATGTTATCCCCTCGAAAAGATCTTTAAAATGCCATATCTCAAAAACGGTTCAACATAGAGCAATAACTAAGGTAGCGTTGGAATCGTGTCACTGAGCTCTTTGCATTGGTATTGTTTTTAAAGCAATTTGAAAGCTTTGAAATTTTTATCCAAGTGCCTAACCAAATTAGTTTACTTTTGGGTCATAACATCATTTTTTCCCTATGTTTTTGTCAATTTGATCATCCACACCGATAGACAGTATTCAGAAATTAAGAAAAACAGGTCTCGTTTCACATCAGGTGAGAATAGCCAACGCTAGCAAGTCTCACCCGGGATGAGATGTCGATCGTATTTCTATTCTCACCCATGGTGTGAATAGCCACATCCTTCAACAAGTCTAAGTTCATTCTAATTTGTTGTGTTATAGTTTTTCTGTAATTATTTTATTTTAAAATCACATTGCACAAAATCGACAGCCGTGGCCTCTTCCCAACACCTCTTCCCCCAACAAGTCGAGAGTGTGTGATCGCTACGCACAATCTTTGCCCCTGGCAAGGTCAACTCAACTTGGTTGTTCTGTTCATACCAATGATGCAGGGAGGGCCAGTTTGGATAGAACAAGTAACTGGATATTAAAGCTCGATTGTTATCATTATAGGATTATAATAGAACATTTTTTCATAAAAATGATGGAAATATTTAGGAACAAGGGTTGGAAGTCGGAATGGACATCATGCTGGACTCAATTCACAGTCCGAATATAGTCTAACTTTTGTCTAATCGGACTCGAGTCTGAATAGTCACTATGACTAAAAAAAAAGAAAAAGAGGCGGTTGTTCTTCCTGATTGAGAATTGAGATTGATTATAGATCTAGATTCTAATAATAATTGATAAGTTGTTCATCAAGTTGTCACTGTTGTGAGTTCCCACAGCAAAAGAAGGAAGAAAAAATATTTTTAATCATCCAAAATTTCTGTAGGCTATATTCAAGTACTTAAGGCACTCTTCGGGAGAAGTGGTCCCGGCCTAACTCCATTACTCCGTAGACATTTTATACACAAAAATGGAAACAAAAACGAAAGTCGAGTAAAAAAGCTGACTGAGTTGCCAGGGTGAAAATTCCATAGGTAAATTCATTAAGTTAAGATTCCATAAAGGTCTAAACCCATTTTAGACTATTTTTCGGCACTATTTTAAGGTTTCTTAGTGCGCTGAGAACAATCATGGCACTGAAAACTATTAAAGTGACTATTTCTCCGAACGCTTGAGAAAATAAAGTTGAACTCTATTTCTCTTCACAGTTTCTGATCTCGAGATTTTTTGGTTGTAACGAGATTTAGGCATCATCCTTTCATAGCAATGACAATGGAAAATTAACTACCCGTCTGCTGGGACATTTCAGTAACCCACTTTCAGCACTTTTTAAGGACCCCCGGGCGAGTGTTGAGTTCCTGTGTGCTGTCGGCATCGTCAGAAGAGAGAGAGAGAGAATGAAAAATTAAATTTTCATCCAAATTGCTTAAAAATGGGCTTAAATGAAAATAGAGTAAATTCTAAGAACTATGGTTTTTTAATTTTTAAAACCCATTGACAAATAAAAAAGTTATGGGGATTTTTGTTTGCAAAATGTTGGAGGACCTTTCAAATAGGAAAATATCGCCAAAATGTTGGACAAGTCCATGTATTTTGAGGAAAAACTGTTCATAACTGGAGCATATGAATGAAACTTGGTATCTTCATGTGATTTTTAGTGCAGAATCTAGTTCTGCTATCACTTTTCAATGTCTTTAAAAAATTACTTTGGATCTTAAAGACTGATATATTTGAGTGAAATTTGTTGAATTGCGTGACATCGTTTTTACCGCGACGCGATCACCCCTTCTAAAACTCAGTAAAGCGCTATTGGGAAAACCCGCGATGAACTCATCGGCGACCTATTTAGTTATAGGCAGCCAATCACATGCCGCCTAGCAATCACGCGCCTCTTGCATGCCGGCGCTTTGCGTTTGGAATCTGGAATGCGTGATCTACTTTCCAGCTCTAGTGTTTTATCAATGGATGGGTGGTAATTTTAAGTTGGTACGTAAAATGTACGGAACGCAGAGATCTGAAATTTTACAGCAATAAAGAAGACATGTCATGTGGGGCGCCTGTGTGGTCGGCGATCAACGCGCAACTCCGCTTAGTTTTCGAACCGCACAGGAAATTCGCACAACATGGCAATATCTCCGGTTCTAGAAATCGTTCAGGATTGTACGCTGGCATGTCGTTAGTTTAACCTTTCCTCTGATTGGTTGCCAAGTTTCATTTATTTTCGTCCACGAGTTTTCCCGTAACTATACTTAGAAGAGAGTCACTTCTGATTCCGAGCGGCCCAAAAATTACCCCATTCGCGGAGGCCAATTTCCGGCCCAAGACGCAGCGGGCGATTGGCATTGCTACCTTTCATTCTGCCATTCTGCGAGGACTGGGAGGAAGCATTTTTTGCATCAAATTCAATTTCTAGAGCTAATTCTAGATCTATATCTAGTTTTACTGTTATAGTTTAGAACCAGAAGTAATCGTGGGTGGGGTCAAATCGAGCATCCCTAAACAGGAGTGCCGCCCCCCCCCCCTCCTCTTTAGAAAGGGGGGAGTCCACCCTGCACCCCCCTCTTTAAGTTACTTTAAGGCCACCTCTATTCTCACCCGGGGTGAGAATAGTGCAGGCGAGTCTTTTGGCTATTCTCACCCGGTGCGCGTTCACCGTTATAGCCTAGATCAAGGCCAACAAATTTTGCGTTCACCCTAAACCACAGAATTCTACACTGTGATAACAGAAAAATTGCAGAATTCTGTGCTGTGAACAAACGTTCCATTACAACTGTACTTGTAGCCTACTAAAAGCGTACAATTTTGTCTGTGGGCAGTGGAGAGAGAGAGAGTGAGAGAGAGAAAGAGAGAGAACAAAACAAAATGGCGACCCGCGTAGTTCGGCTCGATTCGAAAAGTTAAATAGCCGTAGCATCTTTGTAGACAACCAAATTAATTTACTTTTGGGCCACCTCTATTCTCACCCGGGATGAGAATAGTGCAGGCGAGTCTTTTGGCTGTTCTCACCCGGTGCGCGTTCACCGTTATAGCCTAGATCTAGGCCAACAAATTTTGCGTTCACCCTAAACCACAGAATTCTACACTGTGATAACAGAAAAATTGTAGAATTCTGTGCTGTGAACAAACGTTCCATTACAACTGTACTTGTAGCCTACTAAAAGCGTACAATTTTGTCTGTGGGCAGTGGAGAGAGAGAGAGTGAGAGAGAGAAAGAGAGAGAACAAAACAAAATGGCGACCCGCGTAGTTCGGCTCGATTCGAAAAGTTAAATAGCCGTAGCATCTTTGTAGACAACCAAATTAATTTACTTTTGTGTTTTAACATCATTTTTTAACTTTGTTTTGGTCAATTTGATCGTCCACACCGATAGACAGTATTCAGAAAGAGACACAGAGAGAGAGAAGAGGGGAGGAGTAGGTCTTGCGAGAACTTCCGGGCGGGTGAGAATAGCCACTTTCTTACTTTTGTGTTTTAACATCATTTTTTAACTTTGTTTTGGTCAATTTGATCGTCCTTACCGATAGACAGTATTCAGAAAGAGACAGAGAGAGAGAGAGAAGAGGGGAGGAGTAGATCTTGCGAGAACTTCCGGGCGGGTGAGAATAGCCACTTTCTAATTTTATTACTTTAACGCATCTTCCGGTTTTTTTGTTGGCCACCTCTATTCTCACCCGGAGTGAGAATAGTGCAGGCGAGTCTTGTGGCTATTCTCACCCAATGCGCGTTCACCAAATTTTGCGTTCACCCTAAACCACAGAATTCGGTGATCTTGTAGTTCCGTTCGTTAAAGTCCACGATCCATTTGTTTACATTCAGAGAAGAAATCCAGAAGTCTTGAAGACCAAATACTATTTGAATTAGGCTACACAAAGAGCAGGGATGCAACCTAACTGCAAAACATCAAATTAGGATAAAATTCAGGGGGGCATGCTCCCCTGAACCCCCCCACCTCCATATTTTTTTTTAGGTCAGGGGGGCAAGCCCCCCTGAAATCCCCCTGCTTGACTTTAACGAACGAAACTACAAAATCGCCCAGAATTCTACACTGTGAGGAAAAATTGTAGAATTCTGTGCCGTGAACAAACGTTCCATTACAACTGTAGCCTACTAAAAGCGTACAATTTTGTCTGTGGGCAGTGGAGAGAGAGAGAGAAAGAGAGAGAGGAGTAGCGCGAGAATTTCCGGGCAAAACAAAATGGCGACCCGCGTAGTTCGGCTCGATTCGAAAAGTTAAATAGCCGTAGCATCTTTGTAGACAACCAAATTAATTTACTTTGTTTTAACATCATTTTTTAACTTTGTTTTGGTCAATTTGATCGTCCACACCGATAGACAGTATTCAGAAAGAGACAGAGAGAGAGAGAGAAGAGGGGATGAGTTGATCTTGCGAGAACTTCCGGGCGGGAGAGAAATAGCCACTTTCTTTTTTGTTCCAGACCGAGTGTGTAAAAGATGATCTAAATGTCTATGGAATTAGGCCGGGACCACTTCTCCCGAAGAGTGCCGAGTATAAGATCCAGCATAATTTGGAGACAATAGCAAAAGCCTAGAAAGGAAACTCACATTGCTTTGGGAAACTATAATAGTCACCCTGTGCCTGTCGTGCCGTCGTCAACACACGCTGTTGGACTTGTTGTTTTCTTTTCTCCGGTCTCCGATACCAGATTTACATTAGGCAAGAGCTGGAAAATGCAAAACTTGAGCGACTTTAACAAATATCTACGATTGAAAACTAATTGTTTAATTATATTATTATTTCTTTTGTTAACAATATTTCTAATATTTTCCTTTTAAATCTTGTTGAAATTACAAACTATTTCTTTATCTGGAAGTCAAATAATTAAAGCCACCAGAGCTCATATTTCTAAATTTTGCTCATGAAAAAGCGAAAAGTGCTTTCGACTTCTTAACTTTTGTCAAATAGAAAACTAAAAGCGGAATTGGAATTGCTCCGAAAAGAAACATTGAGAACAAAAATAAACAAACTGGGGAAACAAGAAGGCTAAAGTTGATGTCTGAAGCTGGCTGAGATAGACCTAGAACTAGATCTAGATAGATCTAAATTTTGTCAAGAGTCGAGATCATCGAAGTTAGATCTCTAGTCTAGTATTCATTTTATGCAGGTGCACGGGTTTATTTGTTTCTCCTTTTTTTAAAAAACAGTTAATGCAAACGACAATTCTGAACAATTAAACTAACAATAACAACTCTTTGCTGATGACTACGATGACCAGAACAAGACAACTAGAGAGTCTATATTCTAGATATATCTAGATATCTAGATCTAGACTAGATTTAGATCTAGTATCTAAGATCTAATCTATCTAGATCTAGATCTAGATGTGTCCACAATGAAGTTGAAAGTTAGATCTAGATTCTAGAGTCTATCTAGATCTAGATCTACCACATGTCATCTAGATCTAGAGAATCTAGTTACTAGATCTAGATCTAAGTACTAGAGATCTAGACTCTAGATCTAATTACAGAAAAGTAGACAAGAATCTAATCTAGATCTAGTCTAGTACTAGTAGATAGATCTAGGCCAGGCTTAGTAGCCAAGACCAGAAGGATAGCCTCCAAAATGATGACATATACTTAATATTATAGAATGGAGTTATCTAGATCTACATACGCTGTAACTGGGCACCTAGCCTCAGTGTCTATGTACACGGTAACCGGCAACCGGGCACGTAGTCTCAGTGTCACGTACACAGTAACCGTGCAGTCCAGAACTCCAAGTTCAGTTTTTGTCATCAGCCTGATGATCAGGTGTTGCCTTCATCCCCACCCCTCCCCCGGCAGTAGGCCTACCTTTAAAAAAATCAATAATCCCCCCCATTCTGGAGTCCTATATTTCGCAGCGTTCAGACTTTAAGTGAACTTTGGTGACCCCGACCGGTACTCACAATGTGGTGCGCCCGCACAGGTTCACTGACCGGTCATGATTGCGAGCCCGACAAGATGCTTGTATGACTTTCTTTATTTTTCAAGCAAGTAACAGCACAGGACAAATATTTATTTATTTTCATTCCAGTTACCGTGTACGTAGACACTGAGACTAGGTGCCCGATTAATGTGAACGTAGATACTGAGACTAGGTGCCCGGTTACCGTGTACATAGACACTCTGATTATAGAAAGAGTATATTTAAAAAAGGGAGTAAGTTAGTAGTACTTGTCCTCGTCCTTGCCTAGGTTAGGGCTGTTGTTGTAGGGTTGGTATCTCAGTCCAGCAACAGCTGCACTCTCACTCGTCTGTCCAGTTATATGACATTTCTGATATAGGCCTTAAAGATTGTAAGACATGAAGCTGCTGCGAGCACCTAGCACATCTCTTTTTTGTTTTTTTGTTTTTGTAAAGTGTTTTACGGCGCTCGCAACTGCATAAAGTCATATGAGCGCGCGGGACACACCTAATATTTTCAGTTAGTAGGATATTTTGAATTTTGCCCGGGTGGCGGCCGAAGCCTACTCTTATCGATTTTAGACCACCAAGGGATCTTTAACGTGCGCAACTTGCACACGGGCCCTCCGAGATTTTTTCGCCCTTGTCCGAGAAGGCTAGGTGTAGATCTTTCCTACCAGAAGATCAGGGGTGTGGCAGAAAGACAGCAGTAAGGAGGAGCCAAGGAGTAGCAGAAAGAGTCAGGAGCCCAGAGGAGGGGGCAAAGGAGGTGAGGGGGTGGGGGCAGAAAGTGGAAATGAAAGCAGACAACAGAACATTGCTAGAGAGCAGGAAAGGAGGTGAAAGGAGACAATTTTAGAGAAGAAAATTGTTCGGTTGCTACCCGGATTCAAAACCGGGACCTTTGAATGAGAGGCCAACACCTTAACCTCTAGGCCACGAGAGCCCCTGCACATCTCTGTGATTGGCCCAAATATTGACGACGTTTTTCAGCCATCTATTTTTATCGTCTTCCGGGGCTTCCCTTGCCAGTTGATGAGATCTCATCGTGGCCGACCCGCTTTTCCGCTTCGCGCACTCTAGAGCTAGGTTTCATCGCTGACTGTTTGGGCTGTTTGTGCGCACAGTGTGTGTGTGTGTGTGTGTACAACTTTGAGGAGAAGGTAAATTTATGGAACGAGAATGGCTGAGGTTGTTTATAAGGTAACATAAATTAATACCAAATAAAAGAGCAAACAAACTCGGCGAGATCTGAAATCTAGTCAACAGTAAAAGCTACTGGCGAGGGAAACCCAAGAGTCTTGGGGGAAACCCGAGAAGACGACAAAAATAGATGGCAGAAATATGTCATCTATGTTTGGGCCAATCATAGAGATATGCTAGGTGTTCGCTGCTGCTTCATGTGATTGTAAGTGTGCAAGTTTACTGCAGTTGCTGTGATGTTCCAATTCCATGGCAGAGAGTAATAGAGTAGCCTATAGAGTGTGCTGTCGATTTTAGGTCTCAAAGGTAGAACATACCTCTGACGAAAGGAGTTCCGCAGAGGGCTGGCTGACAACAACCCCTAACCTTAACTCTTGTGTCTTGTATAGTTTGCTCAGTGGACCTTGTCACAGTGAGTGCGACGGCGCTCTGCGGAATTCCTCCCCCTCTGACTGATGGCATAGGTTGTACAGTGAAGCTTACTATTGGGAATATTATAATTTTAAAATATATATATATACTTTTAAATTTCTACCAGCTTCCCAGTTCTAAAGTATGATGTTCTCTTTATTTGTTCTTGACTTCCTCAGGTCAGAGCTTAGCTGAAGCGGTCAATTGACCTAGAACTACTGTTCTGTTCAGGGCTGTCAGACATTGCAGGAAACAACAATGACAGGTATTCTTCCTCCAACTCTAAGTATGTTTTATTGATTTTATAGTGGTGTTCAATGAATGCAACCTAGTTTAAGAGTCACCCCCCCCCCCCCAACCTAAATTCCTATGTAAGTCCCGTCAACAACAACCTTTGCCTTTAACCTTTTGAGCCCTGACTCTGCTTACCCTAGAATACTCCCTGCGTGGCCTCGTCGGCCATTTTGCGGAAATAACCCATAGGTCACAACAAATAGACGAGACAACAAATATGTCACATACAATAACAAAATATCCTCACAGAAGCTAATTCAGAGTTGCTTACCTCACATCTAGAGCCAGTGAATAGTTTTTTGCACACACGTTTACACCTAGAAAGGCCTGGCTCAAACTCACATAGATCCGTGGCTCCCAGACCAGTGAAAGGGTTTATCGGGCTGTGCATCGATAAAGTTCCGGACCGGTCAGAGGGTTTCTCGGGCTCTAAGGGTTAATAATTTCTACAAATTAAATTGTCCAACAATTTATAGGGGGCTGAATAAAAAACCGTATGAACATAAACACTGGCCTATAATTTCAGTGTGTGTGCGTCCCTCCTCTCTAGTTAATCTCATCAAAACACTTGCTCAAGCCAAAAATACACTAAGTTGAGTACATGAGCTCATTTCAAATCCTTTTGCCAAAATTCACCTTCATTTAGAGTCTCCCAGAAAAGAAGAAAATTCTCAGCCACTGTGCATAACATTATCACCCTTCTTCGAGCATCAGCTCACTTGAAATTACAAGATCTAATCAAACCTCAGCAACTGATGCTGTCTATGTCATCACTTTCTGAATTAAGTACACTGGTCATTATTATATCCTACAAATGAGACTTTAGAGTGTATCTGTGGTGTGAATGTGTGTCTTTGAGGGGGAAGGGGTGTGCAGATCACCTTCCCCCCCCTCCCCTTTTGAAAATTTAGTTAGTGGCAACCTAAACCTTAAAGCGACCAAGGGTTGCTCTCCACAGGGGATGCATGCACTTTCATGCTCAAATTGACACTTTTGAGGTCTCAATGAGGCTACTGTGTTCGAATACCCCCTACCCCTCTTCCCATCCTTCATCCCCCACCCACCCCCCTCCCCAATCTCCACACGTACACCCTTCATTGGTAGTTCAATGCTTGTGTGTTGATTGCGCAGAGAAAAACTGGGTTGGGCGATTGAAAGGCATAGACAGTAGGCTACATTATGCAGTAAGTGTTATTTATTTTGCCGTGGCACTGTGCTTAAAAAATAATCACTTTTAGAAGATTCCCAAGCAATAAATCAGCTTTCCAGGTCTTTGCACTACTGAATGCCAGTGTTTAATATGTGTACGATACAGCCTAAAATCTTTAAAGTTTGGACAAAATCTGTACTCAAGGATTTCAAAACATTCACCGAAAAAAGAATTAAAGTATTACCTATGACACATTTACTAATTTCTGTAGCAAGTGCAGTTTTTCTGTTTTTCTGCCTTAAGAATCAAATTCTATATGAAGTAAATGTATGGATGATTCATAACCATAGTCTTAAAATACAGTGGAAACCTGATATAACAGGGATGGTGGGACCAGAGAAAAAATCCTGTTATATCAGATCCCTGTTAAATCAGACATGGTAGGGAAGTAAGCATTTGTGGACTAATCCAGCTGTATTTATTCATGGGTAGTTTCCCTTGCCACAAGTACCCACGAACAGGTACGTGTGCGTGTAGCTAGACTTAGGGCTAGATGGAAGTCTGCAGCACCCCGCAGCCCCCTCTCGCTTCACCTGCTTCGTGTGCTTTCAGTGGCGTGGTTTGCGTGGGCTTGCTCCACTCTCTCTCTCTCTCTCTCTCTCTCTCTCTCTCTCTCTCTCTCTCTCTCTCTTACTTTTTACACATTGTTAACGAGTCATTGTCTCTGCAATAACCGATTAGGCTCTGATGAGGCCCTTTTATTGCTGATAACTTTTAATACAGAGAAAGAGTAGGAAAAAGCGGGGATTTATTACAGGATCCCTGTTATTACCGGGCCTGTTATATATGGTTTCCACTGTATAGCATTCTATGTGCTTTATTTTTGTTTTTGTGTTAATTTTCTGTGCACAGATCTTAGATATCCCCTTCATGCAGCTGCTAGAGAAGGGCGCCATGATGACCTGAAAAGTCTTCTGCTCTGTGGACTGCACGATGTGAACGAAGCCACCTTTGAGTTAGTTCGCCCCCTGCATGAGGCGTGTTTTTGTGGGCAGTATGAATGTGCTGCTCTTCTTATTGAACATGGAGCTAATGTGAGTGTTTATTAAGCACCGTCCTGTTTAATGAGTCCATGACAACATAGAATATTTAGTGGTAGGTTGCTGTATTCCTGCAATTACCAGAATCTCAATTTCTCCAGCTTTGTGTGACCCATGTTTTTTTTATTGTAATAGATGAGAATGACAGTTTTATTACTTTTCATTTCCTTTTTTGGAAAAGCTCTCAGAATGAATTTTGATAAGGGTTTTCTTTTGGTTTATCAAGACCTCTTCCACACAGGTTGTAGCTAAATGCTGCTCAGAGGGGTAATTCCTTATTATTATAATGCCTTTGTTCTTTGGGCTGGGCTGGCGTCACTCACCTGCTTTCTTCTACTGATTTGTTATGGTCTTTCAAAAGTCAGGTCTGCTGTCAAATGCAATGTCATTATCTCTTTCTTCATATCATATAATAGCAATGTGAATCGTCTAGAAAACAACAAACAAACAAACCTACCTGCTTATGAGATTTTTAAAATCTGAGGATCATGGCTTGCATGACAATAGTGTTATGTTATAACTTACTTGAGTCTTGGAGTAGTAGATCTAGATGATAGTTGATGTTGGTGGGGCCCCACCTGCTGGTCGTCTGCTAGTTCTTCGTTAGCCGATGTTACTCGTTTCGGCTTCAGTGAGAGAGTGACACTTAGATTTCCCGCCGCCTGCACTAAATCACATTAGGTCTAGGTCACGTGATATGTCCCTTAGGCCTATGTCACAATAATTATTATTAAGGTGTATTCACGCTACATGTCCTTCTATTCTTAAGGTGCGCTTACACCACAAATAGTTAACTTGTGCTAGGGCTGTATATTAGCTGTGTTGGCTGCTTAGAAATGGGATATAATCTTTGTTTTGTTGCTTTCATAAATGTCACATCTAGGCCATAATGATCAAATCATTACGTTTAAATGTATGGTTAATGATGACATAGTATGAAATTCTTACCATCCTTATGATAAACCTCAAAACCTGTAGTCGAGATAATTTTCAATGTTCATATGTTACTCTTGTCCTGTTGCCTGTTGTCTGTCTGAAGTCATATTTTGTTTTTATAAGGCCGGTCCCAGAGTGGCTCTGTAGGTCTGACCTGTAGCTCGCCTAGCTCGCACCATGCAAATGAACGTTTACATTATCGTGTGCCTGAGCAGCGTTGCTGTATGGTCTGTCTATTGTCCACTGAGCTGCGCAACGCGTCAGACGTGCTTTTCAACTGTGTTGTAAAACAGGTCGAACATGTGTCGCACGCAGCCTCATTTCATGTTTATTTTCGACTGAAATTCTTCACAGATCATCAAAATCAGCAAGAAGTAAATATTATTAGGTGCTTTACTATTAGGTATTGATGCTAGCCTCAACACTTGACCACAAAATCCCAAGAAATGCACTTTATCCTACATTGAAATTTCGAATCGAGAGGTTTACCCAGTTTCGACTGTTTGTTTACATTCATAGGCCTGTGCTTCTAGCCTAGTGCGGCTGTGTTGACACGCAGAGGGCGCTCATTCAGACACAGAAGCCAATGCACAGTGCAGCTGTGCTGACACGCAGACAGCATGCACTTGGCGAGCTACTGGTGAGACCTACAGAGCCACTCTGGGACCGGCCTAAGTGTGTTAATTCTGTGTGACACCCTGCTTTTTGATTGTGGCCAATGTTATTCTTTCATGGTTTTTGGTCAGTAAATTTAATTTCTGTGCTTTCAGGTAAATTTGTCGAACATTGATGGTGGTACTGCTCTGTGTGATGCATGTTGCAATGGAAATCTGAAAATTATTGAGCTCTTACTCAATAGTGGTGCAAATGTCAATCCACCTTTTCTGATGACTACTCCTGTCCACGAAGCTGTTTTCAGGGGTAACATGTTATCACTTTCTTTGCTGATTTGAAGTCAGTTCTTTATTCTCAGTAGTTGATGATATATTTAAAAGGGTGCTCTCTACCCCACCCTTCACATTGGCTACTAAATGCATCGTTAAAAAAAAAAGAAATATAGATACATTAATACTTCAAATGATATTAATGTCTAAAATGTGGAAAAGGGCATTTTAACCGTCGATTGAAGAAAGATGCTAAGAGTATGTCTTATTACAACAAAAATAAGGTGGAAGTGGCCTCTGAATTAACATTCTCACACAATGTAGAAGAACAATTCACACGAGTTCCTTGATAGTTCTCATTAATTTGTATGTTTTTCAAGTAAATTAGCTGAAATTCGATGTGTTTATTGCACATCCTAAATTAGTACTTTATACATAACATAGGTTTTGAAAACTTTTTTCTGAATAACGCAAATTTGCTTGTCAGATGTCCTCTTTTTACCTGGCCATCGGTAGCAATTTGAAAGATTTCTTTTTTTTTGGGGGGGGGGGATAAGATGTAGGTCTGCTTACCCTCCCATCAGCACTATTTAGATCATTTAGGATGCGGGCTTCTGACCATGCCTGTCGAGGCCAACCTAGGTTGAGGAGGATGCAACATCCCTGCTGAATGACCAAGGCACTAAATAAAAAATTTTCTCCACTGAGGAATCAAACTCAGGTCTTATGCATGCAACATCGAGACGCTTTACACCATAGACACTGGTAGAATTTTTGTGTTATTTAGTTTTGTGCACATAACAAGTTTGAATGAGTTGGGACGAGAATTGTACATTCTTTGATGAAATTGAAATATTCTTTGAAAATTCAGTGCGGCTACCATTTTGTTTTTGTGTCCCTGGCATAGGAAGGTGAAAATCATATCATTGTACGTGATTGTATGTCTAGATCGTCGTATGAAGTCAACTAAATGGGAAATCATGAATATTTTACAAGATCTATATTATTAACATGCCCTTTAGTTTTTGTAGTTTACCTGCTAATGCCTTTGGAATTTTAAGCTTGTTTGAAGTAATTGATACTAATTGAACTATCATAAATTTTCTTTCTTGTAATTATTGTTAGTGCTTGAGGGCCATTGTCTCCTTTTTTGATGAATTGCAGACAACTGGAAGTGTTTGGAGCTGCTATCAAAGCATGGAGCATTATTGGATAAAAATGATTGTCATTATGGCACACCTCTTCATGTTGCTGCATACAAAGGTTGGTATCCTGACTGATTGTTGTTAAAAGAAAAAGTAATGAAATAATCTCATATAAGACGGGTGTAAAAAGTGAAGTTAGGTACTCCACAGCTTGTTAAGTCCCAAAGAATTTTGGTGAGTCATGGTCCCCACAGTTTAGGAGAGAACAGAAAGTGCCTGATCATCTCCTTGAGGGGATTGTATTTTAGTTTTACTTCTGTGTTAGCTTTCAGCTAATGCTGACAGCCTGTTTTCACTTGTTCTGAGGGAAGGAATGCTGTCTGTCTTCAATTACACCCCCCCCCTCCCCCTCCCCCCAGTACCGACCCTCACATGACTAGTTTCAAGGAAGTTTTTGTTGTTTATGCACACTACAGTAATGTGCGATGATGCTTCTGGATACCAGCATCGTGTGTATCATGTTGTGTGGGGGTGAGCCTTATGGGCTTAAGTAATCTGATACTATCAGTGATGATGGTTGTGTTTTTCCCAGCATGTGCACAGGGCAGTTTTAATAAGAGACAGTTGGGAGGAAAAATTTGATCAGGTTTTTTTTAGACAATCTGTTCAACAGATCCATATGATATTTGAGAAAATGGTGTTGCCAATACAAAAGTCTAGCATTTCAGTCAAGAAGCAAACTGCCCAGTTTGTGCACGACATCGGACTGACTGTCTAGCTGCTGTCATCGAGAACGAGGAAAAAGAAGAAGAAGAAGAAGAAAAAAGTCTAGGAACGGCATGTTGCACTTTCTGTTATGGTTTTGAGTGTTTGTGTTACCTGGTATTGACTCTCAACATCGCTGGGTGGTGTGGTATGATCGAAGACAGACAGTGTAACACTGCATTGGGCTGTGCGTTCATACATGTGTGTGTGTGTGTGTGTGTGTGTGTGTGTGTGTGTGTGTGTGTGTGTGTGAAAGTAGGCCCTGTGGATCAGATTACCCAAGAGGGATGGGTGGTGTGCTTTGACAAGTCTTGCTTACATTGTTATGATCGTGATATGAATTGAGAATCTGAATGTGTCTAACTTTTTTGTAAATCCCGAAAAGATTTGAGCAATCCATGGCTGACTGTAATTGTAATAGAGAGTATGTTAGAGATCTAAACCATTTTGTCTTAGTTCTGGGAACCTTGTTTTAATACTTTAAAGATACACAATAGAAGTATTGATATTGCACAAGACAGCTTGGTGTTGTATTTAGATGACTATTAAGTCAGTATGCTGCTTGTTTTACGTGATATGGGCCTGACTTCCTGAATAGAAAACAACAGTTACATCTATCATCATTTCTAGGCTACATTAAGAGTGCTGAAGCCCTCTTGAAAGCCGGAGCCAGTCCAAATGTGTCAAAAACTCATCAGACTCCACTGCATGAAGCAGCCCGCAGCCAGGACTTGCCGCTTGTTCACATGCTGCTGGAGCATGGCGCCGATGTGTACGCTCGTGACAGTCAGGGTTGCACGGCCAGGCAGTTAGTTCCCTGTAGCACCTCACTTTGTAAACTGTACCTGCAGGAGTGGGAGAGTGAGTAGACTTCTTTATGCCCCATTTTTTAAATCTGTACTGATATGATATTATGTATAACTGTCTTCCTTCCCATTTAAGTTCCATGAGCTCATTTTATGCCACTAATAATATTCCGTTTTTAATATATATTATATTTGGAATAAAGTCATACTATAGACTATAGACAGAAAGAATAGCAGTGAGGAGGCATAGTGAAGTATGCTTGGTTCTGGATGCAGAGCAACACCTTAGACTTGGATGTAGCAAACATCAGATGATGAACTTGATCTTGACCAAAGGGACAAATTTGAATTGGAGACTGTAATATATAAGGGTAGATCCAACACTTATTGCCAAAAAAGCTATTTAGTGCAGCAAGTTATGTCATATTACATTTGTCCATCTAAGAAATAATCGTTATTAACCCTTAAAACCCTATACCGCTGGTAACCGCTGACGGTGTATTTTCCTATACCGCTGGTAACGTCTGACACCGTATTTTCCTATACCACTGGTAACCGCTGGTCAACTTTCTCGTTTAATTCCCGGTGCCAGAAACAGGGGATGTAACTCCAGATGACTCTGTCGCAAGCAGAAAGTACCAATAATATCATGAAAGCAGTTCTACACCGAAAGTTAGAAAATTTTTCAAGTTTTTAAGAAAAATTAGTGACTTTTCGCAACCAGGCCCTTCAGACGGCAAAATTTTAGACATTTTTTATCCTGAACCAGACCCCAATGATGATCTCATGGTCGGTTATAACGATAAATTATATGACTGTTGAAGACGATTGCAACGTTTCGCATAACATTGATGATGATTTTGACGATAGTAGAAGTGACAGGGGATCACCACTAGAGCTACCAGAGGATAGATCTAAGGCTGGGTCCAATGATGCTTTGACTGAAGTGGAGTCAGGGATCACACCAAGACTTTACTTATAGAGTTGGTCCTAAGAATGAGTGTTTTCACCTTTTCCCTTTTTTCCCCGACTGTGCTTTCACATATAAATAACATTTTCAAACTTCAGTAAAATCTAAAGTACAATTAAAGACACAGTAAATAAAGCAATGAACCAACCTAATTTTTTCTAGTATCTCGATTTAAATCCTTTTATGTTTGGTTTATTAAGTCGTTGTATGTATGTTATCTCTGAAAAAAAATGTGTTTGATGACACAATTTGGTCAGAAGTCTTCTGTATATTTTCTGAAAGAATAATGGACTAGCTACCTTTTTGTCATTTGAAACATCCTTTAACTTACAAAGTATTGACACCAATTTTAATTTGTCTTTATATCCTCAGGAACGCCCAAAACCTTGAGGTTTCACTGCAGGATGGTCATACGCAGAGCGGTAGATGTTAAGAAACTCAAGTGCCCGATGCAACTCAACTTACCCAAAATTTTGGTTAGATTTCTGCAGTTTGAATAAGAGATTATCTGCTGGAGTTCTTTTGTATTGCTTCTCTATTTTGAATGATGTGATCCCAGTGATGCCCCTCATATTTTCTAGGAGTGGTCATTATCAGACAACCATGTGATGTAACAGTGTAATCATTCTTGGTAATCTCAGTCTTTGTTACCTCTCCTACAGGGCTTGTCCTGTCAATACATTGACCACTTTGCTCTCTGCGGTCCTGGTGCAGTTGAATAGAGTTGCATTTCTTGCCTTTACACGGAATTGTGAACTTTGGAACTATGTCCAGCATTTGTGGTGTAGTGGTTTGGCACATTTTCTTTGCACAAAGGGGGCTTGGGTTTGAGTCCCTTGTGGGGAGAATTTTTGTTGAGTATCCCGTTTTTTTTGCTGGGACATTGTATCCCTCTTAGCTCGCGTTGTCTCTGACAGGCAGGGTTGAAGCTTGCCTTTATAATGAGCTGAATTGTGTCTATGAGGTCGTAAAACTACATTTTTTAAAATAACTCCTTCTATTAGAGATCCTCGTGAGTATGCAGGTGACAGGACAGCAATGGAAATGGAGCTTTCTGTGACACCCTTATTGAGATTGTAAAGGATACCAGTGCTAAGCCCTGTTCTTTTATTGACAGGGAAATGTGCGTCTCATTTTTTTGTTTTCCTGCCTTATTTTGATTAATCTATGTTCTGCAAACAAAAGCTGAGGGGCATATCCTTAAAAAGGGCTTGAGTTCCTGACCCTCTCTGGTCTTGACTATGTTTTTGTCATGGGTTAGGATACAATAACAAGATTTTGTAATTATTGAAGCTCCAGTCCAAAACTGGTTATATATCATAAAACTTTAAATTACTGAATCATTTTGAACAGCTGTCCTTTCCTGTTCCTTTTTACTGATGCCATATGTTTTGAAAACAGGTGGCTCTTTGCTGTATTGATGGGCACCATTCTTCCCTTTCTTGTTCTGTGTTCAATGAATGTCCCTGGCTAAAGAAACTTATTAAGACTGTTGAATAGTGAGAGAATTTACGAATTCATCAGTAGAGGGAATAGCACTGCTTATAAGTAGAAAAGTTTGTTCACTGCTAAGAGTAATGTTTAATGAGTAGTGTTTGACTTATTTCTCATTTTTTGCATAACCATAAGGGTATGTTGAAAAAAGGGAAATTATACATAGATGTCTTTGATGCTTATCCAGGATACTATTTAAGGATAAATACTTCTTGTTGTCTTTCAATTTTGGCTGTGAATGTGGAAGTCATCTAGTGTCATGGTCCTGGAGACGAATAATTAATCCAACTGGTTTTTTTTAATGAGAAGGATTGTCCCATTTATTAACTGTTTTATTTTGTTTTTAATTCTTGAGGGGTGGTTGGGGGGGGGGGGAATTAATTTCTGGTGGGTGCTGCTGTGTTTATTTTGAATTGTCATGTTATTTTACTTGGTTTTATGTGATATCAGTTTTGTACAGATTACTAGTCTGTGATGAATTTTTTACACAATGATTTGGAATTTGAATTTGCTGCTTTTTCATGTGCACTATTTGTTCAGATCCGGTTGGGTTTTTTGTTTTTTTTGCAACTGTTTTACATGCTCATAGTGCGCTCTGTTTTGAATGTAATATAAAAATCCTTTACATGTCAAAATTGGTTTGCTGTTGAGTCTTTTGAGATTTCTGTGACTGATGGTCAGTCTGACAGTCATCTATTGGCACACTTCATGGTTATTAGCATGATAGACATTTTTTTGGGGGGGGGGGGGGGGGATCTCGTGGCCTAGAGGTTAAGGTGTTGGCCTCTCATTCAAAGGTCCCGGGTTCGATTCCAGGTAGCGACCAAAAAAATTTTCTTCTCTAAAATTGTCTCCTTTCACATCCTTTCCTGATCTCTAACAATGTTCTGTTGTCTGCTTTCATTGCCCCCACTCCCTCACCTCCTTTGCCCTCTCCTGTGGGCTCCTGACTCTTTCTGCAGCCTTTCTACTGCTACTCCTTGGCTCCTCCTAACTGCTGTCTTTCTGCCACACCCCTGATCTTCTGGTAGGAAAGATCTACACCTAGCCTTCTCGGACAAGGGCGGAAAATCTCGGAGGGCCCGTGTGCAAATTGTGCACGTTAAAGATCCCTTGGTGGTCTAAAATCGATAAGAGTAGGCCTCGGCCGCCACCCGGGCAAAATTCAAAATTTCCTACCAACGAAAAAGTATTAGGTGTGTCCCGAGCGCTCATATGACCTTATGCAGTTGCGAGCGCCGTAAAACCCTATACTAAACAAACAAACAAACAAGACATTTTTTTCTTTCCCTTCTCCACCTCATCCTCCTTCCATTCATGCTCAGTGTTGAATATTTCACTCACTGGCCAACTGGTCTAATGTTATATACATATATATAAGATAGCCTGATTTTATTCAAGAGCCTATTGTGTCCCTTTCTACTAACTTAAGGTTAAGTCGAGGTAACTTTTGATTATTTTCGTCCGACAAGATTGTTTTTTGGCTTTTTGAAACTGAATGATTTTTTACTGAAAAGCCATTTTGGTATACTTGCTCTTCATTAACTTTCAACTGTGAATGATTTTTTTAACATGAACACTCGGTTCTTTTTCTTATTAGAATATTTTGATCAAACCCGTTTTTTTAATAGCTTTGGGAAAGAAAGAGTGTAGAAAAATCACTGGTTTTTCCACTCTGTAAGATTTACCTTACATGAGCCTGAATCCATCCAAGTATTGTGGCCTATGACTTGAAAAGCTAGTCTCTAGCATTCCCCCCCACACACACACACTCATTTAGAAACGAAATATTTGAATGCCCTCCAGTAGTAGGTGCGAAGCAACTTGTGGCCCTCTTGTTTGTCACCAATTTGAAATTTTTATGAAATAGATGGCTATAAAAATTGAGTAGTTGCAAGCCTTCTAATTGGACTGGATATATTATAATAAAAAAATATGTCAATAGTGGTTTTTACTGTACAATTGTTGCCGTATTTTAAAGTTGTTGAATTCATCGGCTCATATCTTGACTACTTGCACAAGGAGACAAGAAAAAGCTGATGATTAAATTTTGTGTAAGAGAAGGATTATTCCATCTTTTGCGTTTTGTTGATAATGTGAAGCTCAAGGGTACCGTAGCTAAAGACATCAATTCTATTTATTACAGTTGTTAAGATTCCCGTCCTTGCATTCAAGCTATTGACACCTAAAAGCTGGAAAGAGCAAAATTGTAACTAAAGAATATGCACGACAACATGAAATATAATAGGAATTTTACACCTTTTTTTCGCAGGTTCATACTCGAGGCCAATATTTTATTCATATGGTCCATCTAAACATTAGTCACAATGGGAAAGAGGGTGTGGGTGTGGGGAGAAGAACATTTGACAACATTGAAAATTACAAATCAGGAAATTGAAAGTTCATAAGTACTGGACCTTGAAATCATGACACAATACAGAGACAATTCTAACCTACTATTTTCATCCATTTACTTGTACTTGTATGACTTTGTCACTAGACTGATTCTTAATTTTAAATATTCTTTACTCTATTGCTCTCTTCTGTCATTAAGTTACCATAGTAGTTAATCTGTTCTTTTCTCATTAGTAAAAGTAACTATACCAATTTGCTCTAAAAATACTTAAATCAAGGATTTTTCTACTCACAAGGTGTTACTATATGTTCTACTTTTTGCATATTTATGACAATTGAAGAAAACCACTGTCAACTTCTTAAAAGCTTTGACTCAAATACTGAAAGCTAGTTCTTCACTTGTGTATCAATAACAAAGACAATTTATAGAAACAAAGATTATAACTACGACTGTAAAAATACTTTAAAATAATGACAATGACCAGAAAGACAACAAAAAGGATATTACATGTAACATTTTTTTTCTCATCCCTCTCTACTGACCCTGCCATCTTTTATCTTACCAGAGTCCAGGCCCCATTCCACCTTGCTTGGGTCCTTGCTTCTCTCATAAACTCACTCGACAAACCGACCAAACAATTATTTTAACTTAAATGTGCATTGTTGTAATAATGATATCCATATCTAATTATTATTATACTTTCTGGGATAAGGCATTGGTTCTCAAACGTTGTTTGGTGCTGGCGTTCACGTATGAGAAGTCTTGTATGATGGACACATGAACTGTTGTAGAAGACAACATGTTGTTGATTAACAAAAGACCACAAACTGTTCTGACAAAAAATATATGCAGCCTGCAATGCGAAGATCAAGAGATTGGCTCAGTATTTTTTGTTCATGAATTTAAGATCCGCCTGAGGTAACCGTTTGTATCATGTCTGTGGTATACTGATTACTCTGATTTGGCTTGTTAAAATTGTTGCTGAATGCAGATGTTAGTGTCATTGCCACAAAGATAGGTTATTTGCCAAGTATTTATTCCTGTTTGTTCACGGAGATGATATATTCCACTCAGCCCTGTCAGGCTGGAACAAAACAGCCAGCCTCCTAATTCATCTAAATTGTGTTGATAGGGGTGTGAAACATGTGCAGGAGTAGGACTCTAACTACTTGCTCACATTGCCAAGTATAAATTTGAGCCTGTTTCATACAGTTAGTCATAATATAAGTAGCCCACACTCACAGACTTACAAACAAACACACACACACAATTGTGCACGTGTGCACACACACAAACGCACATGTGCACATGCACAAACATTTATGCCTTTACTTTTAACTGCCAGGTATGATACAGCACAATGAGAAACTTGCCTTATATCTTTATGTTGCCAAAATCACACAATGAAGGTTTTTGAGTTTTGCAAGAATTCTGTTCATGAAGTCGAAGTACAACGTCATCACATTGGACAGGCTTTAATTGATGGCGTTAATGCTCCAATCGTGTGATTGGATTTTTTTTTTTTATTCTTAATGTACAACAAAGGTTTCCAGGTCAAAATTGCTTCAAGTAGTTTGATTCATAGCTAAATAAATTGAAATTAAAGAATGGATTTCTATCCTTGGCTCAAGGATAGATGTATTTTTGCGCTTAAAATTATTTTTTTTAAACTGAAATCTGCAACGGTTTTCGAATTGCAAAGAAGGTTACCAATTTCTGTCAATGACATACTAATGCCATTAAAATGTTGTGGTCCCCTCTCAATCATATTTTATATGGGTCCAATGTAAAGAAAAATGGAAGCCAAGCGTTCAGGCTAAGGTACAATTTTAACACTTTACCTTGCCCTAGATAATATTCACAACCTTTCGATAGACACAATATCTCGAGCACAAGACCAAGGGAAATAAGAACGTAAACTTGAAAATCTTATACTTATTGTGAATTATCACTGAAATAAGTACAGTGCAACTGAATTTTATCCATAATCAATTTCTAAAATGTTCCTCAACAAGTGAAGGTTTAGGAGAACATACATGATGATGCAGTTCATTAAATTTCAAAACGTGATGTAAGTCGTAACAAAATCCAAAGAAAAGATTCGAGACTTAGGGCAAAATTCTTTTTCACTTTTACGAGTCTTACTTCGATGTAGCCAACTCCAGTGGCTCCAGTGGCGATAAATCTATGGCTTTTAAAAAGGACATTTTCACACATGACTTGTAATAATAAAAGATAATGCATCTATATTATATATATCCTAGCTTCTTATAATAATACAGGTCATGTACATAATACGTTAATTTTTTTTTTTACTCATATTTTCTTCGAATGACTTTTTCTGGCCTTGGTCTTTTTTAGGAGGGGGGGGGGGGGTCTTTAAAAACAGTCTTGTCCAGTTATGTACGAGTCAAACAGGTCTACACATTTTAAGGCTTATAAATACTTATATTGCCCAAAGCTCAAAATCACAAATCACTTCCTGCGTATAGATATACACACATTAAATATTATGTACAATGAACAGTATAAAAAGACATTATAAGGACGTATCATCGTTGTCAGCTCTTTCGTTAACAGAAGACTTTTCTGACGTCCGTGCCGGTTGTGTTCCTCCTTGTACACCTAGTACTTATCGTCCTTGAGCAAGTACTTGAGTCTGCAGACAAGCACAGGCACATGCGCGTGATGGAGAATGTAGTCGCTCACACTGCCCAGCATGGTGCGACGGAACTTGCCCAGACCCCGGGTGCCTGGTGCGTACGCGTGGATGAAGAAAAATAAATGAAGGAATTTTAAAATAAAATCTTAAATGAATACCCGCATGGAATTTGTTTTAGTCAGGCTGATTGAAGCGACAGGGCAGAGCTAGATGAATATTAAGTAGGGGAAAAGAGCCTAACAACCAACATTAGACGCAAACTTAGGCCCAGGACTTGCTGGAAATTAGCTTTTGGCCCAGTAAGAAGAGTTATAAAAAATGGAGAAACAGTTAGCAAAACCAAAAACTACTGAACTAAGTACATGTAGCATTGTCATACTTCCAAACACTGACGGTCTCATTATTTTTATCTTCTATCACTATCATAAGACCATACTGGTGTGCATTAATTTATATAGAAGTTTCACACACACACACACACACACACACACACACA